GGACAGATCAACTTTTTGCTGCTTTGGCGTTGCTCCAGCTACGCCATGAGTTTTATGTGCTACTGGTGGGAAAGGATTTTTGGAAACAGAGTGCTGAAAAAATCGAGGTTATTGAAAAACAAAGAAAGAAACCCGAGTTGATTCTCCGCACAAATATGTTCAGACAATTTTCAGTCGCAACAAAAGGTTAAAAGTATGAGCTTGAAGGCAATGACGTGTTTCTGGTATAATCCACGCATTAGAGATCTCTCAAGGGTTCATTTGCAATTCCCTTCGTAGTATTTGATCAGCCAACATACGCTTCGAGTGTCGCTACGCTCCGAGTTAAATACTACGAAGGGAATTACAAATGAACCCTTGAGAGATCTCTAATGCGTGGATTATACCAGAAACACGTCATTGCCTTCAAGCTCATATTTTAACCTTTTGTTGCCTGAAAATTGTCTGAAATATTTGTGCGGAGAATCAACTCGGGTTTCATTCTCTGTTTTTCAATAACCTCGATTTTTTCAGCACTCTGTTTCCAAGAATCCTTTCCCACCAGTAGCTCATAAAACTCATGGCGTAGCTGGAGCAACGCCAAAGCAGCAAAAAGTTGACCTGTCCACAAGGAAACAAGATGGCACTGTTCAACGCCGGAGTGGTGAGTTAAGATACTAATCTTCTCCTGACCAGCTCTACTGCTCCTACAAAGTCACTTTGAATTTTTAGCAGCATCCGTTCTACATCCAAGCGGTCTAATGAGTTCCAGCAGCGCCACTGCCACTGTGTCGATGACCACTTCTGCTACCGTAAGCGTTGCACTATTACAAGCTGACTTTTCAACTTTCCAACCAGTCTGTGCACAATAATTGACAGATTTTGGATAATCGCTTCAAATCAGAAACCTTTGAGGCCAAATTAACTTTCAGCGTTAACTGAGAATAGGGTGATGAAAAGGGTAAAATCAGAGGAGGGAGGAGGATGCGCAAATCCGACATAAATGCATACCGATTGCCACCATAACGGAAGTGTGTATCGCGTGTAGTATGACGAGAGGTAGAACTAGGAAAGACTGGTAAACCTATTTGTATTCGAATTCTCGATTCTACCAAAACGCAGACTCCACCCTAAGTTTTCCTACGAAATGCCGCAGAGTGGGGCGGAAGGAGTAAATATAATGTACCTGGAGAAAAGGCAAGCGCTCCAACTTTGTCTGTATTGCGCTGGCCCGACGAAAAGGTCAGAAATCTCATCAAAAGGATGAACTGGCGTTCGCTTCGATCTGTGGGCTTGTCAGTCAGTGTGTTGCTATAAAATGTGAAAAGCTCTAAGTACGATAAAATGGGTGGTATCACCAGGTACAGCACCAGCGGAATTGGTAGCCAAGCGGAGAATTAAGCTGGTGCGAAAGATGCGCTAGTTACAAGGCACCTAAGCCTCGATAGGGAAAGTCACCAGATCCGCCCCTCCCAAGCATGGTCATTGAAGGTTGCGACGGAAGCACGAGCAGACCGACAGACGATGCTGCTTTTCCAAGGATAGAGCCTCGAGCTTCAACTGTTCATGCATTTATTTAGGATCGCCCAAGACGAGCTACCGCGGGCCAAAAAAGCCAGAGCGCTACCGAGCAGAAAAAGCGTCGTTAATGGAGAAATAAATATCAAGATGGAAACTGCTTATTTACTAGCTTTGCAGCTTTGCTGACGAAGCAGTTCTTTAATAAATAAATGTTCGAAAATAGAGCTCTGAGAACATGCTTTGCATAACTACATAGAAAAAAGAAAAATATAAATAGAAACAAAAATAGGAAAAAGTCTTGACTCCCTTCTTGAATTACCAGACATCTCCTGCAGTACTGTGCTGAACAAGGACCCATTGTTTGTGGTATAACTTGCAGTATACACGTTAATGAG